GCAACATCTTCACATCACAAATCTTGCAATTAACCCTATACCAAGATCACGCCTGTAGCATCTCTTGCTCGAGGTCGTGCGACCCCCGACATAAGCATTAATTGCCTCAAACATCCCACCCTATGCCAAGGTCATGCTTGTAGCATCTCTTACCCAAGGTCGTGCCACCCTCGACATAAGCATGAGAAATCACCCATCCCATACTATGCCAAGGTCACGCCTGTAGCATTTCTTGCCTAAGGTCATGCCACCCCGGGTCACAAGTGTGAGGAACCACAATCACATTCTCATTCACATCCACATTCACATCCACATCCATATCCACTACTCAATTTCACAATACATACACAATCCACACAAAATGGTGGTTCACATACCCCTCAAGTAATTCACCATGAATCCTCACCTAGATCATCAATTTTATCAAATAATATAATAATAACATTCATAAATTAATATAATAATAAATAAAATTAGCAATTTAATATAATCTTAACATAAACGGTAAAATCTCCAATTATTCCAAAACCTAACTCACAGACACTTTTCTACAATTTCGTTCTCTCTCCCAGATCATCATTCTTACAAATTAAATATATATTCATAATCCTAAATATATACAGAATCACATAAGACCAATAATTCTCCAAACAGAAGTAATTATAAAATTACTCATAATCCTACGAGCTTCCTCTTTTACCCAATTCCCTCATGTAACTTTGCATACAAATAATCCCCTTTTCCCCCGTACCTTGATAAGTAGTAGCTGAACCTACGCAAGATCTGGTTGGTCTCTCTCGCTGGGTTCCCCTCGGTCTGAAGCAAAAAGTAGAGGGAAAGAAGAGAGACCAGAAGAAAAGAAATCAGAAAATGAGAGGTGTGCCTTTTGGGAGTGGCAGAGTGCTCTATTTATAGGCATCAGGCTTCGCCGGAACGACCCGTTCCAAATCCGGAACGGCCCATTCTGGACCCTTAACTCACGACTAAAAATCACATCCAGAACGACCCGTTCTCAAATCAGAACGGCCCGTTCTGGGGTACATTTAATACTCACAACGGTCATATTTTGGAACGACCTGTGCTCAACTCTGAAACGACCCGTTCTCAACTCTGGAACGACCCGTTTTCAATTTGGGAACGCCCGTTTCAATCTAAAATTTGTAGACAATTTTTGTATTTTGGAATGGCCCGTTCCAGTTTGGGAACCATTCTAGTATACAAAATCACTCTCGTTTTAGTCATTTGGAACGTTCTGTTCCGATTTGGGAACGATCCGTTCTGGGCTACTAAATCACCCCTATTGGGCCTTTGGGCCCTCAAACAAAAATTAAAAATCGGGCTGTTACAGTTATAATTAAAAATATTTTATTTTATTTTTTATACATATTATTATTTTTTAAAGTATGCTTTGAATAAGTTTCTTGAAAAACACTTCTAAAAAAATAAGAAATAAGTTTTGTCATAAGTTAAAATTAACTTCTAGATAAGTTAAAAATACATTTTTTGAAAAGTTAATAAGAGATAATTTCTAAAAATCAACTTATTGTATAAGCTAATTTCAACTTATAAAAAAAATTATTTCATGTTTTTTTTTATATTTTTCTTTCCTATAAATATTTTTAGAGAAATTTATTTAAACAATCCTTTGATCTCAATGGTTATATAAACTTTACCTTCTATTTTTGTTACTAAATATAATAATATTTTAATAAATTTCAATCAATTAAAAAATATATTTATAACATTTTACATATATAAAAAAAACTTAAAATATAATGTATAAAAACCAAAATGAAATATTTTAAATATATGAATTAAAAAATAGTTCAATTATTTCAAAATTAAAATAATATTTATTTTAACAAAAATTATATCTTACAAATATAAATTGATCTTAGTTGTCAGTTTTGGACATGAGATGACATTGTCTTAACAAAGAGTACAGTAATAAAATTTACAAAACTTAAAAAAAACGAAAATGGTAATTAAAAGTATTAATTATTTTCAAGTGTATTTTTTTTTAAACATATAGATTGTATAAAAATAAAAGTCAATTAATAACAATAAATGGTGAAAAGTCATTGAAATGGGTAACGCTTCTTCCTCTTGGGTGGTGAATTTCAGGGATTTCAGTGGCGAAGAAGGGGTTTTCTCTTCACATAACTCACAACAACACACACCCCTCTCTCTTTCTTCCTTCTTCAACAGTGCTCTGTTCTTTTATTTTTCCTCTCTCTTCATTTCTTATTCGCTTTTTTATATTTATTTTTTATTATTTTTATTTACCCAAAAAGCCAAACCTGCAAATTCCGAACCCGAAAATCGCCGTCTTCAAATCCCACCCATTTTCTCTCTCGTTCGACCCAAATCGTGGAAGCCTCGGATTCTGACCCTTGAATCGCTGAATCGAAGTTCCGTTCAGTGGTGGGGTCGTTTCGGAGTGGTTGAACGCGTTGTGGGGATATGAGAACGAGTTGCATGTTTTGGTTCCGCAAAGAGTTATAAGAAGGAGTTGTTGCAGCAGAGCTTCTTCTTCTTCTTAATGGCAGCGAAGCGTGTTTATGAAGCATGGAAAGGAAGTAATGTAATGTTCTTTCCTTCTTTTTTTCTCCTTTTTTTTTATTTTTCTGCTTGTTTTTCATGAATATAGCTTTTAATGTTTGATGTGTGTTTAATGGGTATGTTCTGGATTTGTTTCGTGAGTTGGGGGAAGTTTGATTTTTTTTTTTCCTTAATTTTTTCAAAGGGGTTAGAAGTTTTGTGTTTTGAATTTCTCATGCTGCTGCTGTTGATTGAAGCTTGAAAGTGGGACTGAGGAGTGGGGAAAAAAAAAATTAACTTGGGAGTGTGGTTTCAAAATTTAGGAGGTGGGTGTGTTGAGTTGGTGGAGTGAGGTTGTGTGCTTAGGGAATTGTGTAACATTGAACAAGCAGTTTCAAATTGTTGTCTTTCGTAACCGTTGTTGTGTCCGTTTGTGTTATGAGGCTTGACTCTGTGAGTGAACTGATAGGGCATTAGTAGTGGTTCATTACTTCATTGGAGGAGTCAGTTGCAACAAAAATTTAATGTGATTATATGACTTTGTGCCATTTCTGTGGTTAAAACTGGTCTTGGCTGGCTGCAGTTGGTTTCTTGCTTTGTTGTAGAGTTTTGATTTTTTTAGTGGGGGAGAGATGTATGAGGCAGTACTTCAGCCTTGTGTCTCTTAGTTAGCTTGAAGAGACAGGTTGAACTTGGTGAGTTGCTTTGTCTCAGGAAAATCAGAGATGGAGATAAATAATTTGTCCCCCCCTTTTTTGCTTGTTCATTATGATGGGTGATCTAGAATCATTTTTGCAATTATGGAGATCCAGCAGATAATCAATGATTATTTGTTTTATGATGTATCTTGTGCCTCATGTGAATTTTACTTCACAGATAACTCTGAAACATATAATACATTTTTGAAACATTCATCTAATTATTCTTGTTATAAAGACATGTGGACATAATAAGCACAAAACTTAGGTACAGTACCATTGGTATTGTTGATGTTGTTCTCTAATCATAATTGAGTTTTATCTCGGTAATACACAATAACATTTAATGGAATCCTTTATTATACATTATTGAAGTAAAATTCCACTTTTGATTGGAAAACAATACCAATAACACCTACGGTATTACATGTAAGTAATAACCATGCCAAAGGCTCATACATGTTAATACTATAGATAATTGCTATGAAAGACAAAGAAATATAACAAGCTTTGAACAGCCATATGTAAAGAATCTTTTGTGAAGATAAATACTATTTTTTTTGTCAATTAAGTATTGCTGGAGAAGCTGACTTTCTCTAAGCAAACCTCAATTCACATGTGTTTGTTTCCTGTTTGGAATCTCAAAACCATGGTAATCTACTAGAGACATGGTATTTCCAAACCATGGTTTAGGACTTTCCTATTGGGAATCCAAACATATTATTGGTCATTGGTGTTCTCAAATTCCAGTTTAAAGAGTAAGTCCATAGAATGTGCCTTTTTACATTAAACACCATCTCATTTGCAAAAACATCAGCTTCCAAGAGTGAACAGTTATTAAAGTGTACAATTTTTTTTTCTTTTTTTTTTGCATCATGGTATAATAATTTAGTGATTGTAATGGAAACCAATTACAAATGTCATGAAGAGTCATGATAAGTATAATAATAACTGGCCGTTATGATAAGAAGTTAGGAAAAGTAATTTATGATTAGAATATGTGATAGAAAACAACATATCCTGCATTAGTTGTTCAATGTTAGTTCTGTATTAGAATTAGAAACTGCCACAATGACAGTTATGCATAGAAAATAACCAATGAGTCATGTATTAGTGTAAATTTGATAGTAGGGTGTGTAGTTTGGAGAAGGGTGTTGTTATTAGCAGTTTGTATGTAGACAGAGAGTATTCTCTGTAGAAGACTTTTGTCTCTGGGACAACAATTGTATTACTGTGTTCTATGATTTCTGTGTTCAGAATTGTATTTTATTAGTTTATCAATAGGTTTTCTATCAGATTAATCCGCATGTTTTCACTCCTAAGAAAATTTCAGTTTCCCCCGAATGAGAAGAAGTTGAGATTTATAGCTTCTTCAAAAGAATCCTTTTTTCATTATTTGTAAATACTAAGAGCATCTTTCTCAGGGAAGAATGTAGAGACAACTCTTTGGTTATACTGGTACTATTGAATTCTAAAGAACCCATTCTATTGATAGGCTGAGCATATACTATAGTTCCTTATGTTTGGGGTCTAATTTGACCTAACATCTAAAATGTATAATGATGGAGGCTTAAGATAGCCAGGTGCCAGCATCTTGTGAGTGGCTGTTATCATCAATATTACTTGTAATGTGCAGTTGTGCAGGTCTGATTTAGGGTTAGTAGTACGCCTCTTTTATATTTTTGCCTTTTGAAGGTGGATACATGGAATATTTTTGGTGAAAATTACTGTGTGAATTTACTTTGGTTAAGTTTTTGGTTTGTTTTAAAGGTATTTTTGTGAACGAGACTCGAAAGCTTTGCTGTGTTATTGATTTTTTCATGTACTGTTCTGTCTTGTCTCTTACCTTCCAGTTTATGTATTGCCATCATCTTAGTTGTACATTATTTTATCTCTTCTGTTATATAGTGGCCTATATTTGATTTTGAGATTGGCCTGACATGTGATCCAACCTGAAAAGACTACGGTGCAGCCCAACAAGAATTTTCATGGAGATTAGGAGTGGGAGTAGAAATACTAGACCTATAGGCTCTGGACTGGTGGCTATTTTTCATGCAGAAGCTCTGCCTGCACCTTAAATTGTTATTATTGACCACAATTATTCTTATGGTTAAAATTGCTTATACATTGTTCATCAGAGACATAGTTTTCTAGGTCTTACACTATAATGTATCTTCTGTTGTTTCTTATTTTTAGTTAATACTCTTATTATGATTAAGTGTAGTCGTAGTAGTGTTAATTTTAAGCCTGACCACTGATATTTATGGATGGTAAGAATCCTTTTGGCTTGGGCAGGTTTCTAACCCATCTTCTGATGTAAAAGCCCTTTGGGCTAGAAGCATTGACTATGCACTGACCTACTTTTCCTTAAACTGAAATTTAATTTAATTGTGGAGAATGTAGGCAGCAAGGATTACTTGGTCATAAATACTTCCCATACCATATTAAGGACATAGGCCCAACTCTTTTGGATATTTTTGGATGGTAAGAGCCCTTTGGGCTTGGGCGGGTCACACATCCTTTGATATAAAAGTCCTTTGGGCTGTAAGCATTGTCAATGCACCGACCAACTTTTCCTTAAACTCAAATTTAATTTAATTATGGAGAATGTGGCCGGCAAGGATTACTTGTTGAGGAATTGGTTATAAAGATTTCCCATACCATATTAAGGACATGGGCCCAACGCTCCCAGAAGCTTAAGCTACTAAGTGCATGTTTGGTTTCTAGATGAAAAGCTCTAAATTCACGTTGAACAGAAAAGGCAAAAATTCTTGTTTCTCAATTTGGTGCATTGGAATGTTTAAATTCCCGTTTGTATTGATGCAAACGGGTTCTCAAATGCACCCTAAGTGGATGCTTTCAAATGGTATATGTACATTAACTGAGGTACTATGGAAACTTTATCTTGCTTTCCACCGCTTTCCACTATGAGTATCCGATAGTCAAGATCTCCCAAGGGTTGGGTACTTATAAAGGCACTCTGATGTTCAAATAAGGCTTTGGCTCAGTAATAAATGTCAACAATAAATGCATGAACTGTGTAATCAGGAAATTTTATACTAACCATAATGGACTACGAACTCTTGGGCTTTGCTCACCATTACCAATTAGGTAATACATTCTTAATGATGGATTAGCTTTTCGCTAGTTTCTAATGAACTTAATTATTCTATTTAACTTCAGCTGGCTGTTGCGTGCTAGGGCTCAGCTGCCAAAGACTTCAACTTTGGGCTGCTAAGGCTTTGGTTGCCGAGCACTTTGTGATTAGGGGTCATTTTCTCATATATCGGTCACCTGGGGTGTCAAAGGGGTATTAGACTGAGTTGTATTGATTGAAACTCTACATGCCAAATTACCAATCAATTTGTTCATTTGTTGAATCCCATGCATCCTCCAAATTATTTGATGCCTTTGACAGTGCCTAGACTTTAGTTCAGCATTGAACACCATAAAGAAGGTAGTCATGATCGAGCACCCTGAGATCCATTTCCTACAACTACTCCCAAAATCCTTTCCTTGCCAAGGTATTATAATCTTTCTCAAACTTAGTTTTGGAAAAATAGGTCTTTTTCATGCCTACTTCTACATATCATTGATAACTTTGTTGGTGCTAACAGCTGCATCTAAAACCAGATATCATTTGACAGATGGTATCTTCCAAAACCTCGCTCAATCGATGGTCACAATCATGTTAACATTGGAGACCACACCACTCTTAATTTATCTTTATAAACTCATCCCTATTAAAAAACAAGGTAATTTAAGGTAGAAGTTATCCTTGTCCTAACCTTTCTATGTATAAAGTCCCAACAATTTTATAATGACTTCTTTATATCCTCTTTTATAACAGTCCCAGCATTTTTGGAAGCAATTGTAAACTTGTCTATGTGTGGGGCATTATTTTGATCCATATTCCCTTTGTTCTCATTGGAAGGTCATTATGTCTAGATGTCCCATTTATGTTATGCAGATATGAGATTCAACTATTCAAGTCTAATTCCTTGATGAATGGTCTAAATCGTTCATTTTGTTAATCAAGTCTTATAAAATCTTATTTTTTTTCTTCCTATCTACTATAGTCAAACTTGAATTTTGGGTGGGCCTAACTCAATCCCAAAAGTTAGGTCATGAGGTGCAGATTGATCAGGTCTTTATAAGCTATATTGCTAGGAAGCGAATACTACTATACTAAGAAAACTACTTGTAGAAAGCTATAAAGAAGATATAAGGCTACTGGAATATTTCTTCATTTAATGATTGCTCTCCAAGGAGAAGAATACACTTATTTAACCCTAACTGATGCCAATTAATAAATAACAGTTATCCATGTGTTAGCGTCCTATTA